TGGCCTTCCCCCTCATCCTTACCCAGAAGGTTTTCCAGTGGGTCGTTTTGAGTTCGCCATATAAACAGTTTGTTGAGACCTCAAGAAGTTTCTTCCCTCTGCGCCCCTCCAATCCCACTACTGTCCCTCCCTGCTGTGGCCTTCACTTTAAAATCAGTACAAGGGCATTAAAAAATACAGCACCCGTTTTCTTTGTCCTAATAATATCTAACCTTTCAAAGACTTTCCGGGATATGCTGGGAGCAGTCAGCACTGCAGCATCCAGGACTTGAGTATTGCTTGTAGTGCTGAATTTGACTAGTAACAGTGAATCAGCTGGATTGCTCATTGTTGATTTCTTTACTTTTTAAAGCACCCTTTGACTCACTCTTTACCCTTTTGACAACTTTTGCTTTCATTGACACTAAGATTATCATTGCCTTTCATTCCTGGACCGGTTTATGTTCGCAGTGCTTTCAGCTAGAGTTTTAGAGTAGCAAAATGCTTATTTTAGTGAGGAAGCTTTGGAGTTCTTGACCCTTTTTAAGTAAATGTTTCATTGATCTCCGATGCTGTGCTGGATGTTGTGATTTTGCCTTTACAATAGATGAAGTTCAGAGGAAAGAGAAGGTAGTGTCAGCCCTGTTTTCATGCTATGAATGAAGATAGTTTTCTAAATAAAAATCTGCAAGAGAGAGTGTATTACAAAATTTTTGCAAGCTTAAGTTGACAGGCTGAATATTTATTGTTACTTACAGTCCTCTTACTTTATACTCTGGTTTACTTATACTGTTACCTTCACTTAAAAGTTAACTTTGGTTAACTATAGTTAACTTTTACTGTACTTTTCTCTTCTCTCCTCTTTGCTATAAAAGAAAGGCAGAATTTTTAGTATTGATAATATGTAGCCCATTCCTCTGTATTCTTTTCCGGCACACAATGCTTTGAGAAGACATAGCCTCTAACAAACACAGTGTCTCCTGAAGCACATATAGGCACAACAACAGCAGCTTTTACATGTTAGGATAGAGGGTCTGTTTTGGTTTTCTGCCATTTCAGCTCCGCTCGACTGATAGTGAAGAGGACTAGATGTACACCACCTTTGTCCCCAGTGATTACTTTGGCTGGTTTTAATCTTCTGCAACTTTTCTGTAGTGGGAGAATAACAGCTTTGAACTGCAGGTGAATATTGTATAGAGATCCCTGGCTTCTGGTACATTTTCTTAAGGCTCTGAAGTTCTGTTACTGCTTCTCTGTATAGTGTTAGGGTTCTATGTTTCTGTGGGAGTCAGTCTCATTGTGCTAGAAGTTGAAAATGGTAAAGTTTAATTTACCTCTATATACCTATCTTGCCCTTCTAGTATCTCTCATGGCATAATTTGTTAGGTAGATCTAAAATGGTGTATATTCCAGGCATACTAGTATATGTGGAGTACCTAGAGAAGCACAGCATACGTACAGCTTACTTATTCATTTATTCCACCTGTTCTCTTGCTTATTTAGTTACTGTTATTAGTATTACTTTTATACCTAAAATTCAAATGTTGGAATGAGTATTAATCTGAGGATTATAGTAATTAAAATAAAACTGATTAACATTTACACTAAATGGAGTCTGAGTCTCATTAGAGGTAGATTGTGACTCTTCTAATGAAATCAGTGAAGCTGTGGTCGTGAACAGTCACGTGAATGAGAGCTGCAGATCAGTTTGCAGCATAGTTACATTTTTTTCCTTAAAAAAGCCCTCTTTCTTGCTAAAAGTACATCTGATACTACAGTTCTATCAAATAAAGTTTCTCAACAGTACTTCAAAACATAATAATCTGAGTTGTGCTTTTAATTTTGTCACAGTTGTTTCCTCTGCCTCTGATTTATGTTGGAAACCACATAAGTGGATTATCAAGTACCGGCAAACTCAGGTACAGTAAATGGACGTTGTAAGTAGACTGTTTAGGTTTTACCGTTTTCTTTTTTGTGGAGGTAAAAAATAAACACTAAAAAAAAAGGCACTGCATAGGGACTTAAGTGCATATGATGTCTGTCTGTCTGTCTAAACTCCTGATACTATTATGAAACTCTCACCCAAAACATTTAATCTCTTTACAAGTTGTCTGCTGCTTTTATGGGGGGCTTAGCTAGGCCTGTACTGACAGAAAATCACAATACTCCTTGTGACAATGAAAGTGCTTTCACTTTCATCTCATACCCAAACGTCCAGCTTTTCCGGGGTGTCCTAATCAGAGAGTTTGAAAGCTGTAAGGAAGAAGAATATGGGAAAGATTGTACCACGATGTCAGTGCAGGTTATTTAGGACACACCAAGAGATGGAAAAACTACTGTGTAGTGGGATGGTGGCGGCGGCGTAGCCCTGCTGAGCACCAAGAGCAGGTTGTGGGCAGATTGCTAAAGGGCTCGCTGACTCCTGTATGCCCGTGAGCATAGATCCATGAGAGTTGCTTACATGCTGGTGCTAGAAGGGTGTAAGCTATGTAGAGGCCCTGCTGTAGTAGATTGACTGACCAAATTTTCTGTGGAAGAGGAGTGTAGAAGTATGACAGCTGCACCAGGATTGGAGGATACACGCACTACCGTTGCGGTGGTTTCTTGTGTGTTATTACAGGCTTCTGAGAATTTGATAGTAAGCTAAACCAAAAGACAGAATCTTGCAGGTTTTCAGCATTTCGTAACTTTGAAACGTTAAGCACCTGGTTCTGCAGCTCTTTGTTGTACACATTCAGAAGTTGTTCTACTGAAGTGACTGTTCAGGCAGGCATACGGACTTTGGCAGTGCTGTCCCTAGTAGCACTTCAGTCAATGTGAATATGGAAGTAGTTTCAATCCTGTAAAAGTTTGATTCATGGGTTCTTCTTTCCCCTGTTTCCCTAACCGTAATTTTAAAATAAAAAGTTTATTAGGTTATTTTAAACATCTCCTCCTCCTATGACTGACATACTTCTTTTAGATTTACTATTCATAACTGATTTTTATAACAGAAAAGTAAGAATGGCTGCAGTTTCTACCATTGACATTTTGTTGCATTGCGTTTTGTTACCTTATGTGACATTTGTTTGCATTGTGGAATTTTCCACCTTGTTTGGGTTGTCTGTAAGGTGTAGGTGGTCCTATGCATAACTTCAAAACGTCTCTTCTAAACTGGTTAAACTCTGTGTTAGGATTTGTATCATTTATTAATGCAGTGGCTAATAGTTATCTTAAACAGAGGATAAATTGGTCCATATGGCCATGCTGTCAGATTTCCAAAGTGTCAGATGCAAGTGTTTCCTCAAATTAATCAAAAAGGTTTCCAACTGCATCACTTTTTGTAGACCAGCGAGATGTTGTTTGTTTGGTAGTTGCAGCTGATCCCACGTGTGATATTTCTTGTACTTTCTCTGTTTTTTTTCTTCTGGATTTATTTTACTTTTTTGAAAGTACAGCTTGTTTACTAAGCACGTTTGCTTTGTATTTTATTTCTGTTACATGTTTTCAGAGGCAGGTTTACTGTGTGTCCTTTAAGTTTACAATAGAAATAATTTTTACTTACCCTGCCCATAAATTCTACAGGAAGAATTATTTCATAGGGGCTATACTAGGTAGAAAACAGCTTTTACATTTCATTTCACTGATGCAGAGGGGCCTTTTGAAGGTAGCCAGTTGCATTATTTTACAAACTGGCTTATCTTGTTATTATTTAATGATTTGGTTGTCTAATCTGCCTCTAGTGTCAGACTGACATTTTTTTTATGTATGCTAAGTGGCTGGGAATTTGTTTTGGTTGCTTATTGCTGGACTAATGGTTTCATCCGCTGCTTAGTAAAATTAGATAAGAATTGGAACATAAAAATGCTGTTAATCTGATGCTGTGCTTGGATTTTTTTTTTTTTTGACAGTTTGCCGATGTTTACAGTGCTCAGGAAGTTTACCATTCCACTTACTTTACTGCTGGAAATCATCATACTTGGGTGATCCTTTTTTTTTTTTTCATTTAAGATACCCTTATTTTACATCATATCAAATGGATTACTTGTGGCATCTCATTAGAATATTGAATGAGTGCTTTTTACTGAGAAATAGAGGGGTGGGTTTATGTAGCTTTTTTGAAGACATAGGTACATGCAGTTTAGTGAATACAGGAAAAAAAATTCAGCTTGCTCTCATTTACACAGCTCATTCTCTTGACTGTTGCACAGGCATCAGGTAAGCAGAGCATGACTCACACACTTCTTTTAGCGATTATGGTTTGTGTCTCATCTCGGAGGCCCCGAAGCTGCAAACTGCTTCAGAGAGACAGACCCTTACGTCTCAAAACAGTGGTGATAGTATGGCAGTCTGCTTATGTAGAGTAGCCTTCTGGGTCAAGTCTGAAAACATACCAGTTTAATGAAGCAAAATGGTGTCTAGCAGTGTGCTGTTAGATCAGCAAACTCCTTAATTATAGATACATCAGTTATTTTTGATGAGAAATTAAGACATGTATGCTATTGCAGCTTGGGATCACTAGTTTCAGTTGTACCGATTTGGAAGAACAGGAATATAAATATGTCATACTTTGTCACTGTCATAGTTCTATCCAGATGGCTTGTGCTTGGATAAGGCAAGGTCACAAGGGGAAAAGCAGCTTGCTGAAGCTGAACCCAGGCAACATGAGAGTGATGGTCAGGGGAAAAGCTTTTCAAAAAGCCTCCAAGTAGATTGGCATCTCCTTTTGGCTGAAGCAGCAGTTGATCAATGTGATTCATATTTGGGGATGCTCCAGGATTCTTTTCTAGTTACAAGTTCTTACAGGGAAAGCAGAACTTTCTGTCTTCTGCTGTTGGCCTGCTAGGAAGTGAGGAAAGTGTGAGTCAGTGAGATGGTCATCAGTTCTCAGCTGGACCACAGCAATGTGGTGTGTGAGTGCAAGCAACATCCTAACCTAAGAGAAGCTTAAGAGCAGAATGCTGTATTCGTACAGACTGCTGCAGTGTATTTCCTCAGGGCTGAAAATGAAAGGACTCCAGAGAGTCTATGCTGGCTTACTTCAGGATTTGAAAAGTAGTCAAGGTTTGGGTTGTTACTGTTGGGATTCATTATGATTAAAGCCTAATATATCTAGAGACTGCATACGGCTTTGTTGTTGGGACAGCAGTCCACATCTCTGCTCCTTTGACACAGAGAATTTCTCCGAGACATTTGGTTTTGATGGATCTTTTCTCACAGCCCAGCTCAGTGCTAGGGGCTGGCCTGAGAGAATGACATGGGGAATGTCTGTAAGTCGCATTGGAGTATGGTGCAAGAATACTTAAGACATTCCTACATAAAGTAATACAGATATAAGAAGCAGGATAGTTTTATGGTATGCTTTTCCCTACTCTGTGGCAGTGCTTATGTAGACGTACTGAAGAATATAATAGCTTCTGTGCTTTCTCCGCCAAGTACAAGGTTTCAGTTTGACTTCAAAATAAGTATCTATTTGAAAAATAGCCCAGATAGTGTACTGTACAGCATCTTCCCCAAGAAGGGTGAGATGAAAAACTACACAAGAGATGTGTAGTGATTTTCCTTTATTGGATTACTGGAAGACACTGAAATATGTCCGTTATGAGTACCAATACACAGTAAATTACAGTTTGTTCCAGCCTGTTACTTTAAACCTTTAATCTTTACTCTTAAAATTATCTAGCAGCAGAGTGCTTACAATGCTTTTTCAATCTCTGTTCTCAGGGCCAAAGTCTGACAGTGTGGCACATAGTCAATCACATTGCTTCCGTATGGTTATCAAGACTGTGCCCTCCTGTTAAATGTTCTATGATTACTAATTGATTTGAAACTTCAGGCAGACAGCCATTTAATCTTCTCTTCAAATAATGAAAATATGAACTGTCTAATTTTTGTCTACAGGAAACGATACCCACTGAGTATTATAGTCAGCGTATTTGCCATCATTCTTGGGGCTTTCATAGCAGCTGGGTAAGGTTTTCATTTGTTATACGATGTCACATTATGAGAGGAGGGACAACAGGAGGATTTTCTTCCTTGTTAATTGCCAAGTAAACCTAAGTTGACATCAGTTACTCTGAATTAAGTTGATTTGGAAAATCTCTCTACTGACATCATTGGGAGGTGCAGGAATACAAAAGGAAAAATTTAACTCCAGCTGGAAGTATTTGGGTGTTTCTTTTTTCCCCCTGGGTTTTCCATGTTTACAGGGTCATATATGAAGCAAGTTAAAACTGTGTGAGGAACGCTGCTTTTATTTCATAGTATCAGTGTATATTAATAATCTCAGAAAAGTATATTCTTGTTCTGAGTAGAAAGACTGATCTTTTGGTTGTCAAATACTGTTTTGAATTAGGCAACATCTATTTTTTTAATCACTTTTAACAAGTTCAAATTTGAGATTAAGTTTACAAAGCACTCGTGTGTTAGTCTCATCTGTTTTTTTTCTGTTTGGGTACTCCTTTACTTAACTGGAAATGTAATGTTATTTTTTGTTTCTTGGCTTTGCTATGTACAAAGGTAAATAATTTCCATGTGATGTGACTCGGATAGAGCCATGTCCTATTAAATGAATTTCCCTATATCCATGAGGTAACTAGTCAAAACAGAAAGGATGACAATATGTCTGGTCTGACTGTAAAAAACAAGTAGTCATTCCCTAGCTACTTTTTAAAAGAAGTTAAAAGAAATAGATAAGTATACTCAGTAATAATTGGGCAGGTTGTCAGGATTGATGGAATTTTTCACAGAATGAAAACTGAACATTTCCTGCCACTTCCGCACTGAGTTCTGGGAACTCTCTAATGACTCATTTGTGAGGGTCCTGTGACTGGAGAAATGTAAAGTACCTTGACTTACAAAGAAGGCTTAAAGCAAAACCTGTGACTTGCTGGAATTTTCAGGATTTGCATTTCCTCATTTATGATATTTCTCTAGGTAAACAAGATAGTGCAATGCATTGTATACTGTTTGCTTATTTACAATATAATATTTCTTTCCCAGGTCTGATCTGTCTTTTAATCTGGAGGGCTACACGTTTGTATTGCTAAATGATATCTTCACAGCAGCAAATGGAGTTTACACAAAGCAGAAAATTGATCCAAAGGTAACTGTGGGGTGATTAGATTGAATTTAACATTATGACAATATGGTAACAGTGGGTTACTTATTATATGACTTTATGAACATAAAGTTATAAATAGTTTGATTTGCTGTCATATTTCAGTTGATATATGCATCCTTAATACAGAACACCTTGGGAAGAACTTGTTATTAGTATCTCAGGCCAGGCTTAGATAAACAGTGTATTTTATTTTTTCCCGAGTCTTTTAGGCAGAGTTTGTAGTGGCTTTAAAACGTTGGTTTTGGCTAAAAAATAAAATAAATCCAAACCAAAAGCAAATTGTTTACCTCTAAATTTGATACATATATCTAAGGAAGATGACTTTTTGACTAGAAACACACTTTAAGTGAGGTTTATGTAAAATAGAGTTGTGGGTAGGAACAGAGATCTGACCAGTTTGAGTCAATAACAACTGGTATCTTTTTTGGCTATCTAAAAGCAGGTCTACACCAAACCCAAAAATTGAGGCCATATCTTGATACCTTATACTTTGTGTAAACATTGAGCAGACTGCTCTTCAAATACAGTGCCATGAAAACATACCGAGCAGTAGCAAAGAGCAGTCTTGGAGATGCTGGATAGAGGCTTTGCATTGACTTTTGTGGGTCAGTCTGTACAGTGGAAATACATATCTTTTAATAGTCTCAGGAGTCACATCGAATCCAGACTCCGTATTTTTCTTTAAGAGCAGCACTTAACGACCTCACAGGTTTCTGCAAAATACGAGGTTTCATTTTAAAGCAAGAGATAAACTACGTAGCAGAGATTTGCTACGTAGCATTGCTGAATCTGGAGGAAGGGAAGGCTGCTTTTTCATTCCCCTAATTTTCAGCCTTTGTGTCAAGCAAGTTAACCAACAGGATATATGGCATCCCTCAAGTTGCTTGAAGTGACATCAGTTACCAGTGATTACAGATGCTCCATCTAGGAGTCAGGCTTCATTAATTTTCCTGCCCTATGCTTTTGTGGTTGGTTTGCAGTAGATGGAATGGGTAATCCCTTGGCCAGGCAGAGACTTATCTGCAGTCTAACACGCAAAGCGGTTCTGGACCAGTGCCTTGGACAGTTTCTGACTAGCTGGTGTTGTATAGAAACTTCCCCAGGTATAGCAGAGCAGTAATATTCTGATGAATATACAAAGTGACTGAAGTGGAAATGCAGCTCAGTACTAAACACTGAATCCAACGATTGCAAGCTTGTATTTTAAATTGAAGTGTATTATGTTTTGTCTGCTCATTGACAATAATGTCAGAAGGATTGCCAGAGTAATATTAGTATTTTGCTCACAAGTGGCTTGTAATTCCAAACACTATGTTTCGTTTTTCACAGGAGTTGGGAAAATACGGTGTCCTTTTCTATAATGCTTGTTTCATGGTGGTTCCAACAGTTATTATTAGCTTTTCTACTGGAGACTTTCAGCAGGTAAAGAGCAATATTCCATATTTCAGCCTGATAACGGTATTTTGTTCTGTTTTTTCAGTTAGGGGGTGGGGTTTTTTGTTTGTTTGTTTTTTTAAAGAGGTAATCCTACCTCCATGTTAGTGACTAGTATTTGAAATATGTGACTTGGACTTCCCTTCACAGGTAAGAACTTACAATTATTCACTCTGAGGAGAAGCTGAAGCTTCACATATAAGGGTGTGATAGCCCTTACATGAGTCTTTGTTTAAGCACTAATATATGACTGGGGATTCTCAGCTAGAGCAATTGGTTGGGAATCCACCTGCACTGTGATTTACCACATGCTCTAAAATGAGATTGCAAATACCAAAACCAGACAATTTCCAGTCCTTCTCTCATTCTGATGCACAGAACAGATTCCTGTTTAGTCTCAGTCTAGTTTGGTAACCTATATTTTACATTCTTACAGAACGACAGCATGACTCTCCATAGCTGATCATAATACAGTATAATACCGTAGGCAGTATGTCCTAGCATGTAAAGTATCAGACCAGGAGGTTTGTGTTATTTTTCTGGCTCCCTCACAGACTTGCTGAGTTGCCTTTTTCTTACCACTAAAATGAGTCTAGAGACTCCTGTTCTCCTTTGGAAATATTTGAGATTGGCCACTGAAAATTATTACAGAGCTTGTGGGTGTCATAAATCATTCCAGTGTCCTTTGTTGTGTGGTGTTGTGCCCTGGACTCACATAATTTTGTCATTGTGTTGTTACAAGTCTGCTTTAAGTGGAAAAATTGTCATTCCCTAAAAATTGATGGCTTTAGATCTGCTTTGAGTGTGAAATTTCATCTTGTGACGTCAGTCCAGCGTGACCTTGTACCAGTTTAGGAAAACGTAGCTCATGCCCTTCTTGGCAGACTTAGTGGAGGCCAAGTTTGTATGGCTGTAAGGTTTCAACTGCTTTCTCAGCAGTCATGGCTGGCGTCCTCTTGGGAGAGCTAGACAGGGAAATTTACCTTCTTGCTACATTTATTCCACAGGAAAAATAAAGAGTGTGTTGTGCCCACATGTTGATTTGGCACAAACAGTTTAATGCTCAATTACCTGGGGAAAAAAAAAATCTGAGAAATGCATAGTGTCTATTGTGCATATGCATTGGCTTGGTCACTTAATATTAAAAGTCCCATTAAATGGTGTGGATAACTAGTGTCAATGTGATGCACAGAGATTAAATCACAGAAAAAAGGTAGAAAATTGAAAAATACTGATGAAAAGTCAACAAATCGTTGTAGATATAACACCTGCATTTAGCAGATTTTCAGGCTGTAGAAGTTGGCTTGCTTTTACCCTAGCAGAGATTTTTGCCTTGATTCATCACAGACAATGCACAGCATGTACCTTTTGCCAGTCAAAATATTAGAACGCTATGTGATAGGGAGATTGCTTCTGCCCCTCTAGCTTTTTCTGGAGCAGTAACTACCACATCTTGTAGAGACTGCAGTGTGTGAGTGTCCCAGTTACTCACTTCTCCTTCACCAGCTGGCTGACTAGGAGGACAGGAGAGCATGATGCTGTGGAAGAGAAATGAAGCCCTAGAATGTCTCTTGGTAATACTTTGCAGTTTGTTATTGCACACCAGCACAATTCCAGCAGGGCAGAGCTGCCCGAGATCCCTCTAATCTGTTACCTCAGGTGCTGGAGACTCGGCTGGCCGCAGCATGGACTAATAGCCTTTACCAAGTTTCTCAGGGATGTGTTCAGCCTTTGCTGAGTTTTGTGCTGATACAGGTGACTTTAAACTAACCAGATTAAAATGAGGCGTATCCTGGAGTTACTAGAGGTGGAAAAGAATCTGTGACATGTTTCTTAGTGACTGTTGTGTGGCGCTGTGTGTTTGTTTGCTGTATGTCACTAAGGAGTAGACTTCAAAGTGATGATTTAGCCTTCTCATTGACCTTCATTGATGAGAGACTTAGTAATGCTTATTTAATCTACTTTTGAGCTCAAAAATGCAGGCTCAGACCTTGAAAGCTGTTCATGAATGAATCTATGGTATGAAATAGATTTCAAGGAGGTTATTTCTTTATTTGCTTTTCTTTCTGTCTGATATTAACACAGATTCTCTGTATTCTATTTGTGTTCGTTGCTTACAGCATGCAGTTTTATATCTGCACTGTTGTATATGTTACAAGAATGTGTTGAGGTATCATGGGTGCTGTCGTCCTGTTGTCTCTGTAGTTAAATGCATCAAACTGTTTCCAGCAGTAATATAAACATTTTGAAATTATAATATAAATCAAATATATTTTGTGATTTTGCACATTTTCATATTAACTATATTTTATATGTGTTTACAGTTGATTATATAGCACGTAATTCTCTCTCTCTCTTTCTTTTCCTTAATAGGCAACACATTTCCAGCACTGGACAAATTTTTTATTTGTCTTTCAATTTCTTCTTTCCTGCTTGTTGGGGTAAGGACACAGGGCAATCAAGTAAGACATTTTATTGACAGTGTTTCAAATTGCAAATCTCAAATGTAAGACTCGCTAGTAAGTTACGTTAAAATTCAAAGAAAATACATTTTTCTCCCAAGCTTCCATCTTGTCTTTTAATTATTTCTAATAGTGTAAGTAACTGTTTCAGTACTATCTATGTTGTTGACTTTACAAGTACAGTGGTCAACAACATGACATTTAGCTTTTTACTTTCTGTACTCAGTATATCTCTGCCGGCCATCTCTTCTGATTATTTAACTTCTTCTTTGCAGTTCATAGAATGTAAGCCCTTTAGTACAGGAACTGTTTCAGTGCGTTTGTTCTTTAAAGTACCTGGAAAAGTATGGGAGACTCAAAAGTAATGAAACAATGCTTTGTTCCTGTGGGAACTGCAGTCAAAGCAAGAATAAAAAAGTGAGTTGGATCCTGTTCTGCTCTTTCACACGTCACCAACCAAGGGGTCAAACTAACTTCAAATACTGACATTTAAGAAGCATAGAAAACAGGGATAACTCTGCTAGAGCTCAAGCAGCACATTTTAACATGTATTTTGAGTACTCAGTATATGCACATCATTAACTTAAAATACAGATCCACAAAATCTTTTTTTAGGGTTTGGAACAGGTGGGATTGAAGATCCCAGCAAAATACTGATCCAGAAAATACTGAACATTTCAAAGTGTTGCTAAACTTCTGAGCTCCCTGGAAGGAATTTATAAAATTTTCTCCTTTGCTTTATTTAGGTTTCTCTTGATGTATTCTACTGTCCTATGCAGTCACTACAATTCTGCGCTTACAACAACAGTAGTTGGTGCCATCAAGGTGAGTTATGGAGAAGAAGGAGATGAGAATGCTCAAGTAGACAGGCGGGAGCATTGACTCAGCAGTGATCCTGATTGTGCTTTGAGCTGGAAACTCAAAATGAGGGCTAATACTAGACACTGCTTGGGCCATACATTTTGGAGATCCACACAACAAAGTGACCTTATTTTCTTCCACTGAAGCGCAGGTATACTCTAGAAAGCAATGTGAGTATTGATTTATTTTTATTTTTCCTACATGCGAAACTTGAACCACTTTAAAAGGTGTATGTTTAATCACATTTCATCAGTTACTATCACTTGCTTCTGTTCCTTATCAAGTTACTGTGAATTAGTCAGGGTGGCCTGGTGCAAATTTATTGCTAACTGATACGACTAACCCACTTTCACTTTGGGCTGAACTAGTTTCCATTGCTGCTAATAAGTAGGGCATTCATAGATACAGAATAATGGCTAAGCTCTGGTAAGGAGTTCATTGCTTTATGGTTAACTGCTTCTGTCTCTGTGTGAGAACTTGTATTCTAGCTGAATAGACTATTTTATTTTGGTTTGTATAAATTCTGGTCAATTTGATCAACACCAAAACATGCCTGTCTTAAAAACTGAACTTGGTGTCCTAACAGTCTGTTTACTCTAACTCAGTTTAATTTAAAACCTGTGCAAATTCCTTTGTGTTGATAAGGCCAGCATGTCTGAGCTGGGAAGATCACTAACTGCACAAGCAACTTGCTGTAGGCCAATTTGGAGAGGAGCACGGAGCTGTAAGCTGGAAGAGTTTTAGCAAAAGATGTGCAGTTATGGGCCAAAGAACTATCAGAATCCAAACTAGCTTAGGCACAGGAATAACAGTCCTCCGTGCTCCCCTTCGTGTGTGACTCAGGGAAGCAATGCCTCCAGCATAGCAAAATCCGCATGGTACTTTTCTTTCTACAGTTGTTTTTTTTTGAAAGCTGGCAAGATTAATCTAGTAGTTTTCATTCTGTGGTCCTGAAAGTATTCTTTTAAATTTTATATGTCTGCATTGAACCATTAAGATAGAGCAACACTATTTCTATTTTCCGAGTAATAATTAGTCCTTGAGACATTTTGAACAGCTTTAAAGTTGAAAAGCACTTTATGATGCAGTAGTCCCCAGTAGAAATCGGTAGAAGTGATGTCATTGTCCAGGCTAACTGCTAAAACATTTGAAACCAACAAAGTGTTGGTAAAATGATCACACAGTTCTATAGCTTTCCTTCTGTCTATAGGGGACAATTTTCCCAAAACTTGATGGGGGCGGGGTGAGGGGTAGAATCTTTAACTTTAAACTGTGCCTGCCTTGAACTTGAGCCAAGTGCTTTCAGTGCACATTTACTTGGCAAAGTAAGGAGGTAACCCTTTTAAAGCAATAGTAAAGAGCTCTTATTGTAACTGTAAAGCACAATTTTTATGCTTGAGAACCCAAAACCTGCTTTTAAGAAATAGGATTTGAAATAAGCCTTCCAAAGATTAAAAAGAAGTACATTTTCAGAAGGTGGCCATAGCTCCATTTTACATAACATCAAATAGCTAATTTTCTTTTTTTTTCTTTTTTTTTTCTTTTCCCTTTCTTTTTCTTTTTTTTTCTTTTTTTTCCCCAAAAAGTCACTCTCAGTGCATTGCATGCCTTTAGAAAACATACTGATTTTATTATTCTATTTCATTGTTAGATTACCCATAAGGTTGACATCGCAGGAAACTAATTTAAACGCTTATTTTAGAGTGGCCAGCAACAGAGTATAGCTATTTCCTTAGAAAAGTAAATTAACTGATGTCGTTTTTATTCTTGGAGATGAAAACTGACTTGAATAAATGCATGGCTTTTGTTTCTTTACAGAATATATCCATCGCTTACATCGGAATGTTGATTGGTGGAGATTACATATTCTCCATGTTAAACTTTATAGGGCTAAATATTTGGTGAGTGGAACTTGAATAGCTTTTATTTGTTAAAGCAGAAGATTCGTCAGTGAGATATAGTTTTATGTTTCGTTTGATTTGGCCCACTTGGGTGATGCAGTTTTGAATCTACCGGCCTGAGGACGCGCTGCCTCAGAATATAAAGTTCATTACAATTAGTTACGTCTTTTCCTGTGTCGTGGTTTTACCCCAGGTGGCAACTGAGCACCATGCAGTGGCTCGCTCACTCTCCCTGCCCCAGTGGGATGGGGGAGAGAATCAGAGGAGTAAAAATGAGAACACTTATGGGTTGAGTTAAGAACAGTTTAATAATTGAAATAACATAGAAGAAGAAGAAGAAGAAGAAGAAGAAGAAGAAGAAGAAGAAGAAGAAGAAGAAGAAGAAGCTCCATCACGCATAACGGTTACTTGGGAAGACAAACGGCATCACTCCGAATGTCCCCCCTTCCTTCTTCTTCCCCCAGCTTTATATGTTGAGCATGACGTCATATGGTATGGCATATCCCTTAGGTTGGTTGGGGTCAGCTGTCCTGGTTGTGCCCCCTCTCAGCTTCTTGTGTATCATCTCCAGCCTTCTCAATCGGTAGAGCATGAGAAGCTGAAAAGTCCTTGACTTAGTGTAAGCACAACTTAGCAACAACTAAAACAGCAGTGTGTTATCAACATTATTCTCATACTAAATCCAAAACACGGCACTATACCAGCTACTAGGCAGAAAAATAACTATGTCCCAGCTGAAACCAGGACATCATGTCTGTTCTCAGATGTTGAATCTTACTGTGGTAAGATCTTAACTATGGAAACATGCCTGCAGTTTTACAATGTGGGGTTGAGTTCATTCTTTTTTTTATGAGCAGCAGTTCTGAGCTGCGAGGCTTTCAAGTAAAAGCCAAGTGGCGTGGGAAGTGAGAGCACTGACTGAATGAGTTGTGCCCACTGAATATGAGTTATGACTTACGAGTTTTTACTTTTTGTGTTTGGATGAACTGTTACATCTGTTTGTATTAATCTGTTGGGAGCAACTGATAATTGATCTTTGTCTACTCAGGGCTCGTTTTTCAGATGGCTTACGTAGCTCTCAGGCACTCCTAATTTATGCTAGCTGGCATTCTTTAATCCTTTGGAAGGAAAACTACATACCTATAAAATGGTATATACAACATCAGGTATATCTGACACCTCTGTTCATTCTCTTTTGTTTAGTATGGCAGGAGGACTGAGATACTCGTTTTTAACCTTAAGAGGAAACAGCAAGCCTACGCAACCTGGGGATGAAGAAGACGCACTTCCTGTGTCAAAGAGTTAGCCAAAATGCCTGCCTTGAAAGAGACTGAAAAGACAAGTTCGTTTAGCGTTGCTGAGAACGTAAATAAGTATATGTGGGAACATATTTGGAACAAGGAAAAAAATCTACCTCAGTTGCCACAGACGTGCACACAGCTCATTGGTTCAGAAATATTCTTGCGCACCAAGTTTTTTACATGTGGTCAAGTTAAATTTAGCTTTTTTTTACACCACGAGCTAATTTATAGGAAGGAATGCCATGAGCAAATCTCAAGTTGTAAATTTGTTCATTTAGCTGTACTTTGGTGCTATTTGTTCTGTTTCAATATCTGCCAGTACTCTCTCAGGCAAAACTGCCTGTAAAGATCATGAGGCTTGATTCACCATTGCCTTATGCCATACGCAATCTTTGGTATCAGTGAAGTGATGAAAGATGCTGGTGATTCAGAATGATTTCACATACGCATTTGTTCTTGTGTAAGTGACTGTAGAACATACGGGGCAAAGAGGAGATGTGCCCCAGGATTGTTCCCTGTGTGAGTGTTGACTGAAGAATTCAGGGTATGGCCTATTTTGTTTGGTGTGCATTATGTGGACATTCTCTCTCAATCTTTTCCTCCTCCTCAATAACATCATGATGTTCTGCTGCAATTGCCATTGTTCACTGTCATAAGTGAACCCTCATAACTTTGCTGGAGGATCAAGGAGAGAAGTACATTGAGAGGAGATTTGTTATATTTAAAAAGATTTTTTTGTGTATGAGCCAGTACCAAACAGATAATTAGGAGAGATAACAAAGGTCAATCTATTTTTATTTAGGTACATTTGTCTTTTTACATCACAGTCCCCTCCTCTGATATTTTGTCTATAGTTCCCTTCTAATGCTACAGAGAAGTGATGCTACTGTATACAAACTACAAGAGGGGAAAAAGATTGATATATGGAAGACTAACTTGTGTTTAAATGAGGAGAAAGGATCAGTGTCTTCTTGTGCCTTATATATGCGGTGAAAGGTTATCTGGTACTAGTTTATTCTTAAAATTTAGAATAAGGAATCATAACAAGCCCAAGGGGTTGCTACAGTGGGCAAGGCTGGTCCAGTGGTTAAAAAAAAAGGTCTGCAATCTGATTATTTGGGTTATCATCTGGGATAATAATGACACCGCTTTGTATCTTTATTTCCTTCTCTGAAAATACAGTTGACAATGCTTACCTGTGTCTCTGAGGATATAGCGTTAATCTTTGAAAACACCGTAGAAGCATTGCAGCACTGGAGGACAGCTGAGTAATTAATCTTGTTGAAGTTTTCAACTCCCTGCAAGCATGAGCCACGATTTTTTAAAATAATAAAATCAAAAGAAGATTTTGGAAGACCATGACATGGATCTAATGACTTGTTTTATCCCAGCAAAATCTGTAAAGCATTACTCTGTGTGTAACACGTGAATGACCAGACTGGATTAGATCTAAGAAACATGTGAGTAGCTCACATAGCTAACACCAGAAGCTTCAGGGATTGACTGGGTTGCCCACTGCCTGCATGGATTTGAATGGCAAGAGGAGGAGTGACTGCAGATATTAGAAGTGGAATGTAAGGGCACAGTCAAAGTGAAAACAGAAGTCTGCACTATCCAGTTTCTCACAGCTGGCTGAGAGATGTGACTTTCATTTTCTACCTGTTGAAGAGCTGGGAAGGGAAGGGGTTGCTGCAGATACTTTAGAGAGATCTTCTGTTTTTAAAGATGCCCTTTATCCTTAAAAAGCCTTTGATATTCTTGAGTGCATTCTTTTATAGGACTCCTCTTTCTCCAGATCATCTCTACCTCCAGAATCCTAATCATTGGACCTCATCTCTCTGCAGTGGGACAAGGCAATTAATGAACGTTTTCATTAATTACAAAAAGATTATGAGAGCCATTTGATTGCAATACAAATGAACACATAATGGCACCTGCTAAATAAGATGTAGTTCCCACAAGGGAAGACCTACTGTATGCATTTAATTCATTAATATTTTGCTGTGCCTTTTCTAAATAAAGAGATGCAGATTATAGTTTTAACAAGTTTTACATTTTTTGTGTGGATGGACACGTAAAATGCTTTTAAGCACACATGGATAGCATGAATATTTGCTTTCTATATGATCAACTTATACTGTACTTGAAGTAGTTTCATTAGTTCATTCTATACTGTAGTGGAAGTGATTTTATTTAATTCATTGTTCATGTCATGGTTTTGAAGTCCTTCAGATTTAGACTTCTTACGTGAAATACAGACCTGATTCCCAAAGTCTTTATGATAGTATTACTCGGAATCATTTAAAATACAAATTTAGGAATAACCAGAAGTAGGTATTATCTGGAAGAACTTGCACGTGCTTGCATCCTTTCACAAAGCAACTCAGCTTCAGTCACTTACTGTTTTCCTCTGTATCTGTGGAGATAATACTGATTCCAGTAAATTTGCTGGTTGAAACTCTGGGAATATGGTCTCAACCAGGCACAACTCTCATATTAGAATTTAGGCAATTATGGAAATAGCTATTTCATTCAGAAGCTCAGTAATTGTGTCTTTCAGTTAATAAAGTAGTAATTTAAAACTAATTTCTCTTAGGATATATCTGTAGATAGTCCTAACCTTACTTTTCTACAGATTTCGTACTGGCTTAATGAAATACTAAAACAATGTAAAACTAGATGACTTACTTGCTGTGTGAAGCTTCATTTTCTTTCTTTTGGGAAAATGGTAAAAATTGTTAGAGAAAACATTAGTCTTCAGAATACATATTTAAAAGAATTATTAATTAGGCTAGTTTTAAGAAATACTGGATTGACTTCTGAAAGTCACATTCCCTCACAGAAGTGTCTTTTGGTTACATGTTGCTAGCTACAGAATTTGATTTTCAGAACTCAGTCCAATATTTTTAAAACTTTTTTAAGTTCTACAGGTGGCAAGGTGTATTTAGAAGGGAACATACAAAGGAACTTAAAAACGGTAGCTGTATTAGAATGGAATATTGTACTGTACATTGATCTGTTCATACTCTTAATTTTATAGGGATTGCTTAGCAGAGGGCTAGCTGTAATGGAATGAGATTAAGAGTGAAGAAGAACAGTGGTCACCCAAAGAAGCTTTCTGCCCATGCAGTGTGTAAGGTTCTTGCAATGATCCCTGTGAAAGTCAGAGAAGCAGGAAAAAATCTTAGACTGGGCTGGGTGAAGAGTTCTTCACATTCATAAGAATTTATTATTTTTCCTTTCAGTATCTCAGCCTGATTTACAAATATTAGATCCATGAAGTACTGTAAGCATATCTCAGACTCATTACCAGCCTCCGGAAAAGAAAATGTCAAGGGAGCATGGGCAGAACTGGAAGTGCAAAGAAAAGACTGGCAGCTATGGCAGTTTGCATTTTGACTCCCATCATCAAATAGAAGTGGTTTTGTTTCTTTTTCATTTAAAGGAGGTATTCGGCATCATTGTTGCATATGAAGAACACAGTGCAACTTGTTCAAATTTAAAGTATTCCTTGAATAATGAGTGATTCTTTGGGGAATTTGTGATTGTATGTGAATATTTTTTGAAATGTAATATTCAGATCTTTTTTGATCTGACTGGCCTTACTTGTGGGGTAAAATGAGGTGTTATGGTATAGAAAACAGTAATTGTAGTGAAATTTTAAGAAAGCTTTTTTTGTGTGAGGAAACTGGGCTGTTAAGCTGAGATGGTAATGATTTTTATATCTTCTTGTTACAGATACAGTTAGTGTTACATGCCTTGTGATTCAGACATCATCTTTACTCTGCAATACATCTGCATATTGTGGTTTTCTGGCTGAAGGTGTCAGTAATGTGACACTTGACATACATTGTTGGTCTTCAGTTGGAGATTTCTGGGTGTCAGGTTTAGGTTAAATTTTAAAGATGATTTGTCTTAAATATGAAAGAATATCATTAAAAATATATAGAAAATTTTATTTTACTTTATCCTAAGTGCACATGTAAGCATCAGTGTTCCTTTTCTCCAGTTTGAACTGATCTTTAAAAAATGGATGCCTCAAATTGCTGCTACAAAGAAGAGTGAGGGTTGTTTCTGTGAGGGTTGTTTCTGTGCCTTCCCTGAGAAGTTCCGTATGTTAAATTTTTAAAATTTTTTTAATCACTTGAAGTCTGAATTGCACTGATTTCATCTTTGTCTTGCAGTGAGATACTGTTCTTGTAAGCATTTTTTCCCCGTAAGGTTTTGATACATGTCCTCCACTAATAGTTCAAACATACTTCGTTCAGAAAAGCTGAAAGTCCTGTTCCCTTGTTAATAGATTACTGCACTTGTTCATGCCATAATTGCACCATTTGTAAAATGGGCGTAATGATATTAACCTCTTTTCAGAAAGCTCTTTGAAAAGTTATGTAATACTGCTTTCTCTGTATAGAAATAATTAGGTGACTTTAGTAACCTTTCATTATTGTGTCTTTGAATTTGTAGATAAATCTATTTTTCTGGCCTCTGCACAAGTTCAGTGTGAACTTGCTCTGGAAGCGTCTGGGCTAGAGTTTAACTCTTCAGCGTGGTAAGAAGTAGTGCTGATGTGTTATCCCTAAGGTTTGGAGTATTCTTATCCAGGGTTTTGTTTTAGACCCATCTTTAGTCTCTATGAATCCTAAACAATGACAATAAGAATATTTTTTTTCTTTTTGTTCCTAGGTAGTTTCCAGAAAAGGACTGAAACCTTTTCTCTAAAGCAAGCACCAGAAATCATTGTTTAGCTTGGATATTTCAGTAGTTTACAAATCTGGGTGTAACGTAGAGATGTTATTCTAATCTACACTCTGGACATTCCTTGGAAAAAGAAAATCACGTGATTTGATTAGACTTCTCACTTCTCTGCCAGTGCTCAGAGACTAGCAGCGTGCGGGAAACAGGCATTTCCCGGGGAGAGAGCGACTGATTCATACTAGCTCACTGCCTTCACTCACCATGGAAGCGTTCCAGCATCAGCTACTCACTCTTATTGGGGGTCTGA